GTCGTGGGTAGGACTAGCGTAACCCATCTCATCTCCTTCTATGATCAGGTGACATATCACCTGGACAAGGGAGAAGAGATTGGCATCATATATCTGGACTTTAAAAAAGCCTTCAATCTGGTGTCCCATGATCTCCTCATGGAAAAATTAGGCAACTGTGGCCTCGGCTACACCACAGTCTGATGGCTGAGAAATTGGCTCCAAGGTCAGACCCAGAAAGTAGTAGTCAATCAAAGAGAATCACTATGATGCTCCGTGACCAGTGGTGTCCCCCAAGGCTCTGTCCTTGTACTGGTTCTCTTTAACATCTTTATCAGCAATGTGGACATTGGTGTCAGAAGCAGATTTGCCAAGTTCATTGATGACGCTGAACTTTGGGGCGTAGCGTCTACACCTGAGGACAAGCTAGTGACACAGGCAGACGTGGATAAGCTTAGTAAGTAGGCGGATATAAACCTGATGATGTTCAATACCAAAAAATTCAACGTACTCCACCCCGGGGGGTGGGGAAAAAATCCACAGCACGCTTATAGGCTCGGCAGTGCTACACTTGCTGGCACCATGGCTGAAAGAGACTTGGGGGTCATGATTGACCACAAAATGAACATGAGCCACCAATGTGATGTTGCAGCTGGTAAAACAAACCAAACTCTGGCTTGCATCCATAGATGCTTCTCAAGTAAATATCAAGGTGTCATCCTCCCGCTGTACTCAGCCTTGGTGAGGCCACAGCTGGAGCACTGCACCCAATTCTGGGCTCCACAATTCAAGAAGAATGTCAAAAAGCTTGAGAGAGTCCAGAGGAAAGCCACACACGTGATCAGAGGGCAAGAGAATAGGCCTTATGATGAGAGGCTGAGAGCCATGGGACTCTTCAGCTTAGAAAAGCAGAGGCTCAGGGGTGACCTGGTAGCAGCCTCTAAGTACATAAGGGGTGTGTATCAGGATCTGGGGGAACATCTGTTCACCAGAGGCCCCAAGGGATAACAAGGACCAAGTGTCATAAATTCCTCAATGATCATTTTAGGCTGGACATAAGGAAAAAATTTCTTTACTGTCCGAGCCCCCAAGGCCTGGAATAGACTCCCTCCAGAAGTGGTGCAGGCACCTACTCTGGACTCATTCAAGAAATGTTTGGACACTTATCTTGCTGGGATCCTTTGACCCTAGCTGACTTCCTGCCCCTGGGGCAGGGGGCTGGATTTGATGATCTCTCAAGGTACCTTCCAGCCCTAATGTCTATGAAATCTATGAATATTGGAAAGATAATCCAAGATGCATATACATGATGATGGTCTGTACATTAACTGTTAATACAGTACTCAAGAAAGATTTTAGAATAACTGGATTGTTCTCTGAAAATGTCAGCCCACTACTCTGCAGCAGGCAAAAAGGCAAGTAGAATATTAGGAATTAAGAAGGGAATTAAAAAGAAAACATTATGGTATAAATCCATGATATACCCACACTTTGAATACTGCATGCATTTCTGGTGCCCTGGCCTCCAAAAGGATATAGCAGAACCAGAATAGGTGCTGAGATGGACAAGAATGATCAGAAGTTTGGAGAGGCTTCCATACAAAGAGGGACTAAGGCCATAAACATGCATTCATTTCTAGCAGTAGAAATTGCTGAGAAAGCTCCACAGCTAGAAATGTTTCAAGGACAGGGAACAGTATAGGTGTTCAGCCTGCAACTCCCTGTCTCCCCTGCTCCTAACACCTTCCTGAGATTGGGGTGATCCCAGTCTGAGGAACAGATGGGGAGCACTGGCTGTTCCACTCCTCCCATTTCAGGGGAGGGAGAGAAACAGCAGGGAAAGGCTCCCTGTGCTTTCCCTGACCTGGGACACCCAGATTTTTCCCCACTGCTCCACTCCCCTGCCACAGACCAGTCTGGGAGAAGAGTGAAGCAGTCGGGCAAAGCTCCCAGCCCATTCCTCAAACTGGGTAACCTCCTGTCTGGAGAAGAAGCATGAGGCATTGCTGCACTTCTCTTCTCCCCTTCTAGACCAGACCAAGGAAAATGAACAAATGTTCATTTTTGCAACACAGTTTCTCTCAAGGGAGATATTCCAGGTTGACACCTGGCAGATCTCTCTCCTGGCAGGCACACTTTTCACCCAAGAGAAACTGAATGAACACTTGTACACTTGTAGCTTCTACTGAGAGAGTGGCAATTTTCCTGATGTACATATAATGCCTGTATATAGTCTCAATCTGCTGACTTTTCAGCTTACAGAAAAGAGGACTGAGGGTCCTCTACAGAGGGTCCTACTATAGAGGGTCCTCTGGGGGTCCTACTATAGAGGTCTACAAAATTGTGACTGGCATTGAGAAAGTAAATAAGGATTAACTATTTAATATATTTCACAATATTAAAAATACGGACAGACAATGAAATTATTAGGAAGCAGGTTTAAAATAAGCAAAAGAAAATTCACTCTCACAGAATGTCTAAGTAATTTGGGGAACTCACTGCCATAAGGTTTTGTAAAGACTGAGAACCAGATTCAAAAGGGGATTAGACAAATTCATAGAGAATGCCTATCATTGCTTAATAAACATGATAGTTAGGGGTACAAAGTACAACTTCCTGGGCCTCAATGCTGGAAGTTGTAAAGCGAGAGGGAAGGGGACAAATCAAGCTGGACAGGCCATGAATATATACTGTTCCCTGAACATTCCCTCTCTACCACCATGAGATACAAGATACTGGACTAGATAGACCTGAAATCTGACCCAGTATGTACTTCTTATGTTCTTGCCAGTCTAAAACAAAAATACAGTAGAAAACACAGCTTGATAGACACTTTAAGAAACTGCAGGAAATTTAGTTTGACTTCCTGAAAACAGCATGAATCAGCACTAGCCAAGAAAAGACTTCTGTTTAGACATTAAAAAGAAGGGTGTACAATAGGACTTACCAGTGCGTTGAGATTGTGCTACTCTTTTTGGATAAGTCTTACTGCGACTTCTTTCAACACGTTGATCAGGCCGAGGAAGCTGGATAGAATGGTCTCTGCTCATTTGCAAAGCTGTCCTGCCACTTAAAAAGGCAACAAAATCAGTATGATGAATAAACAGAAAAATTGTGTGAAAACAATTGAAAAAGCTTAGCTTGATAAATTATGTTGGGTAGCACAATGACTTAGTCATCAACCTCTCTCCCATGTGACCTTGAATCAAGTTTCAATATTCCTGTTTACAGGACAAGTTGCAAAGTATTAACTGCAGTGTTATTCATTGCGATTTTTTTTAACCAGAACTTGGCACAGATGCCACCAGATCATGCCAATCTCTTTTGTATTTGGTATTTTTCCAACTGAGTATAAAGAACCAGTTCCAGAATCCACACAAAATGCTGCTTTATTGAGAATCAAGACAGTAGCCAAAACAGCACAGACTTTTTATGACCTCACAATAGCCTTGTAGCAGGCAACTTTCTTAAGTAATCTGATTATTTTAATTCTATTTCTGAAATTAATTTGTAACAACTTGTCATATTAAAAGGTATACTTAATATTGTTCAGTTTGAGCCAATCAATAGTTAAACTAATGCTAACACAGAATTCTAATGCGAATGAAAAATGCACAACAAACTCAGGGCAAGGCAAAACACCACCAAAAAGTCATAAGGCTTGATTTTTATTCAGAACTGTAAAAGTTCTAAAAGTGTAAGTAAATACATTTTATGCATATTAGTCTTGAAAACCTGTAACAGCAGCCTTAATAACAATCTTGTGGTTCAGGGCTTAAATTCATAGAATCATAGACAATTAGGGTTGGAAGGGATCTCAGGAGGTTATCTAATTCAATCCCCTACTCAAAATGGGACCATCCCAAACTACATCATCCCAGTCAAGGTTTTGCCTAGCTGGATCTTAAAATCCTCCAAGGATGCAGATTCCACCACCTCTTTGGGTAACTTCTTCCAGTGTTTTACAACCCTCCTAGTGAGAAAGTTTTTTTCTAATACCTAACCTAAATTTCCCTTGAACGGTTCTAATCAGTCTAAACAACTGACCTTTTAATTAAGAGTGTTTGTTCTCCTGAAACCTGAAAGTCACTAAGCAAACACCTATACACAAAGAATAACAGCAAAGACTGTCACCGCACCACCCCCTCTAGGCATGGATTTACAGCTTCTCTCTTGAATTAACAAAGCATACAGAAGTGCAGTATTATTTATTTTAGGTACTACTGAAACTACAAAAATATTCAAATAAAAAGAGGGAAAAATTAGATCTACCATGTAAGCAAACAATTGGTGCAGGAGGCATGTTAATCTGCTGATAATAAGACTGACCATATGCATTTAATGATGCATCAGTTACTGTACTTTAACTAGAAATTAACAATATATATGATTAACATGATATAACCAGCGTATTTCAAATGTTAATTAATTGACTTAAAAAAGCAAGTTATTCTCTTAAAGTCTAAGTTATTAAAACATCTGCCCAAGTCTTGAGAAAACCTTTGTGGATCAAGGTAGCACAGCTGTAGACTGCTTTTGTCTTCTACTGATCAGGTAGATGCTTTATCTGGAATATTTAAAACTTATTTTTACAGTCAGCAATGAGCCAGTCCAATGGGTAAATGCTTTAGCAACAGAGAGCATCTTGGAGCTGTCCAACTACCTTTCCCCAAGTCCTACTTTGAGCATGGATCATCAGAAGGGAAAATTAAGCCCCAAGTCTCACACTGTGCTCAATTTGAGAATTGGAATGCTACAGTTCACAGCATTTTTTGGTGGTGGACAGAAAGGAGGGGAAGCAGCAGGGCAGTAGGGGGATGATTTGAATGTAAGGATTTTTAAGCAATATAGATCTAAGATTTACCTGTAACGATGTTTATTGCCTATGGATCCAAACTTGCCAACTTTTCTTGACAGAGAGTTTGACTCATTTTCTGGCATTCTATGTTATGTTAAAAATAAAATGACAGTAAGAAGACGAACACACATATATATATGTGGAAAATAAACTGTAAACTGCTAAAGAATTATGCTATAATCTGAAATGCTGTCCTTTGCATTACTTATATAAGAAGAGGTGAGCCCAAGACCCCTGAACTCAGAAAAGAAACCGCTGGCTCCTCTGTAACCCCCTCTTCATCCCCATATCATCGCAGGGTCTCCACCATATCACATTGGGATGAGTGTTCTAAAGTGGTGAGACTATCCCCCTTAGCCCAAATCCACCTTAAAATTACTTCTGACTTAATCACTGCTAAGTTGTGCAGGTTCTTCCTTGAAGTGGAGTACCTTTGAGTAGAAATGCTTGGAGCAGTTAACTGACATGGCTGTTTGTGGCAGCAATATTTTTGTATTGGCATGGATTACAAAGGGCCTGAGGGACAGGAGACAGTATATAGCTACACAGTCTTTGCAAGAAAGGTCCTTGGCCTCCTGAAAATTCCTCAAAATCCATAGTATAAGAAGTTCAAAGACCAAGCCATTGCTCTGGGTGTGTGAAGGGCAAAACCTCCACAGCTCCATTTTTTGTCTGCAAAGTTATTGGTTTTCCTTACCCTTGTATCAAAATAATCCATGTAAGTGAGCACTGGCTCATTGTTAGGAACATGTCAGCATTGCCATATTATCAATACAACTCTTTAAGGAGTTAGAAACAACACAGTTAAAACTCATGATGCACAAGGATATCTTTTGCTTACTGTCCAACTGTAATACATTGCCTAGTAAAACAAAATAGTAACAAAATTAGCCTGTAGTGGGATTTTTTAGCCCAACTTATTTTAGTCCTGAATTTAAATATGGTTAAAAACAAACTCCAAGTGTTTCCCTCTACACCGGGTACTGGCTGATGACCATGGTATATTTTTATAAGTGTTTATGCAATCCATCTAAACTATGATTTAAGGCTTATGTTAGTGGAAACCCTCATCATCTTCATATAAACAAATAAAAACATAAAATTCCACAGAGGAATTTTACCAAAAATTAAAAATGCATCCTGTTGCCTGTAAAATAATACTAAAAGCAATTAATTGTAAATCAGCAGATCACAGATAACATGTAAAACCTAAGGGCTGAACCAGCTCCTGTTCACTTCAAAACAAGGACTGGGTTTTAATAGAGGATATATTTTAGCTAAGGAGACAAGCTTTAGCTCCTCAAATTGCCCCATTCATCAAAATGAAAAACAGACTCCACATCTGATTTGGTTTCTGAAAATTATATGCATGTTTGGGGATTTATGTACAATTCATTTTGCAGTTTACCCAGATTCCTTCTATTTCCAACAGCAAACTATATGGTTGTTCATCTGCATCTAAGGTATATATGCACACCCTGCTATTAAACTTGGCTAAAGAGAATTCTTCCTTTACATGTTTGGAGCTCACATCCCACTACATACTTTTCTAGATGCTGCTTCAGCTCTTGTATATTGTACACAGTATGAGTCATAATGCTTCATCAAAAAGTAGAAGAATCTACTGCATTTTTTTTTTTTTTAGCTTTTATAAATAAATTGAGAGCTTTCAA